TGCGATTATTTGACCGATTATGTAAAGCATCAGTCGTTCCTTCTTATCTCTCTTCCGTCCTTCCTACCTTCCTTCCTTCCTTCCTTCCTTCCTTCTGTCCATCCATTTTTTAGTTTGTATGTTCACCCTTTCTATCATCCCTTTATTTCATTCCTTCACCCATCCATCTTTTTGTCCATTTGTCTATCCATTCATTTGTTCATTGCAGCATCCATCCCACCACTGCCATTTAGCCTTACTTTGTTTTCATTCCACACTGCCAACTTTATTTCTAAAGCACTTGAAGACAACCACCACTGAGCTGAAACTGAAACCAAACGTCTGAACTTTAAACACGCTCTGAAAAGAATCCAGAAAATGTTTAGGAACGATGCCTGCGATTTCAAACAAGGACACATGTCTAGCCAAATAACGGCCACTAAAATCTGAGGGTAATTATCTTAAAGATTCCTTCAAAAATCTTTCCCAAGCTGGAATCCAGTTAATCTCCGTGCAGGCAAGCAGTTCTCAGGCGGTGTCCTTGCAGATTGCCTGTGCAAGTTTCTCGTCACGACGGCAGCATCTTAAACATCCCGCCGCGTCGCTCAGCTGCCTCCACTCCTCTGTAATTCTGCCTGAGGCGCTCGTACGTCGAAGCACACCCACTCATTCTGACAACTGTCAGGTGAACTCGGCCCTGACGCTCGGTGAAGCAACTTCTCCACCTTTTTCTTCTTGGAAAAAAACGAACTATAATTAGGTGGCTCTATGTCACCTTCTGGGACAGTTGCAGTAAGCGGCTGTGTGCCTGACAGAAGCGGCAGACAGGGAACTGCACTAGCTAGTCTGGGTGACTCAAAGGTGGAGGAACCTGTGCTGCAGCCTGGTGCGCTCTGTTGTCACTAGGTTGTGGTTGTAATAAAGGGAAGAAAGGATGCGAGGAAAGGTGGAGGTGACTCCTTTGGCTATTTTGTTCTGAGGTTGCAGCCGGTTGTAAGAGTTCAAACTTGAGAGACGGGATTCTAAACAATACTGTGTGGTTTTCTTTGCCTTATTGTTTTAATTAAAACCGCGTTCCAGAAATGGCATGTTAGATTTCTACCTTAAAGGGCTTTTTGTTTTATAGAGGTAGGGATTGGAAACAGAAGAATATTTTGAAGAAAACAGTAAAAAAAAAAATTTAACAGCTTTTAGAAGCAGCAGACATGAGGGACGGTCCTCCAAGATGACTTTGATTCAAGATTCAAGGCAGCACAGACAGAGGGGGGAGGGTAGCATTAGTTAATAGGATTTAGTCAAAGTCATTCTGACCGTCTCCTTTTCAGATGAAAAGTAAAATAGTTTCTTTTTGGTTGTATTTTCTGTGTTTGGAGTCCCATGTCACCAGACCCTTCTAAAACTGACTTTGTGTGATTTCTATCCACTGTCTTGACAGTGTTGAGAGAAGATTTTTTTATTTTTACTTTTATTTATTTTTTTGGTGTGAAATTGCAAAGTCTAAGGCCACCTACTGGCCCACTGGTGAACTCCGCCCTCTGAATATTCAACTTAAAAACTGGTGTGCATTCCCTGGCCTCAGAGGCTGGGGTCAATGATGCAGCATGATATGGAAATGTAAACGCACCAATCAGAGTTTTGTCAGTATCTTTAAGACGATACCAATTTTAGTGGATTCAGACTTCCCTTTAAGAGCTTTTAATGGAACAATATATTAAAAGGAGCATTCAAGATTATTATTTCTAGCATTCCCACCTTCACAGGTCATTCAGGATTTATTACAGGAACAGAGGAGACTCAGGGAGTAGCATGGTTACCCTTAATGACACTTAATGACAACAGTTATAAACATTCATGAAGACTCCTTCATGTCTATAACAGGTGTTATGCCATGTTTATAACAGGTAAGTCATGTTTATAACAGGTGTTAAGTCATGTCTATAACAGGTGTTAAGTCATGTTTATAACAGGTGTTATGTCAGTCTTATGCACACCCCTTCAAATAAAGTGTTACCGAATTGGAAGCATTTTCAATCAGTATTGATCATGTGTCTTTCACAATATATTTTGTTGTTTTATTATTCCTTCTTCATTGATACCATCAATGTCAGAAGATTAAAAAATGGCTAGCAAATGAGAGCACTTTGCTGCACTCTGCTTCAACTTCCATTGTTTTTATCCTCACAGCTTGAATGAGTCAAAGGCTCCCTGACATGTCATTGACAACACAGCATTCTTTTAATTAGCTTCTTAAGACTTTCTTGACTTTGTTGTTAAACAGCTCACTGATGCAGAACAGGACGGCATTTTTAGCGATGTTCCTAAACTAAGTGCACTTGTCCGTTCCAGGGCATTCCAGCGTGAATTATCAGCCCCAGGAGACGCGCTCTCGGATGTCCAAGACAGTGGACCAGGTCCTCAGAGACAATGTGGCAATGCCCCACTTCCTGCACTGCATGGAGCAGCGTGGCGCCGACCACCTCGTTCGGTTCTGGCTCGAGGCCGAGAACTTCCGCTCGGCCAGCTGGTCGCGGGTCCGAGCGCAAAACCTCAACTCCGTCAAACACAGCTCGCTGGCCGAGCCGGTCCCCGTCTCTCCGGACGGGCCAGAGCTCGATCAGAATGCGTTCAACGACCCTGCCCTCCACAACAGCCGCGGGAACCCGTCGCCGCTGTCCACCCGGAGGGACTCGTCGAGCGGGGAAGCCAAGCCGTCTCGGGCGGACACCCCCAGCAGACAGGCGCCCTCCAGGACAGGGACTCCCTCTAAGGGACATCCCAACAACACTCTGCAAGACTTCTCAGACACTCTCATGAAAAGTGAGTCCACTTAAAAAAAAAAAACTGTTGTCACTGGTAGTTGTTTAGTTTATTATTAAGCGATTAATCGATTAATTGGATAAAGAAGTTGGCACATTCTGCAGATTTTTATACAATATTAGAAATACATTAAAATATGGAATAAATACTTCNAANCTCTTTTTAAAGAAGAAAATCTTTTTAATAAATCTGAACCGGGTGAAGCTAAAGCTATTCCACTTGAGGAGTTTTGACTAAAAAATATGCACAAAGATGTTTCTATATAAAATGCAAAACTTACACATTTTGCATACAGTTTTGACTTAATTACTGCTCTGATTATGTTGGAAATTTTTCTAGCAAATTTTCTTTTTTTTTTTTTTTTTTTTTTTTTTTTTTTTTTGGGTTTTTAAAACCCCTGTTAGAGTTAACTATTTTTTCTAA